AGGAAAACGGGGGTTACTGATAACAACAACAGTCTTTCTTCTCCAAGTGTAGCTACACTGTGACACTGAGCCAGCATGCGTGACACCAGGACTCTGAAACTGAAGCAGCTGAGTAGAATGAATTATTATATACGCTTGCTGTTTTTACTCAGTCAGCATAGCAGTATGGCTTCTGTTTCTCTATAAGAATGACAGAGCTCTGTTTTAAGAAAAAAATGGGGGGGAAATTTTTTTTAAACTTGTGCCAGAATTGAGCATTTCCTGCCTTAGACACACCCTGGATTGCCATTGGCTGCTTTGGATGTTTTCAACAGGCCTGCTGTTAAATCACTGTGTCTGTGATTTAAACGCACATCAGGCTATGGAGCAACACCGCCACGGTCCTGCTTCCGGGAATTGTCTTTGTGCTGTCAAGAGGCCCCAATAACAAGAGGCTCAAACCAAAGAATATACACAGCGCTGGCAGAAAGACATAAATCATTGCTGCATGCAGTGTTTTTGGTTGTTGCTCTCAGTCTGTGCACAATTGATATTTCTAGTTTATTTATATCTAGAATGAAGCATTTCTGCAGACTATCTGCAGAGGGACACAGATGTGTGGTGACTGTGGCCCAGAACATATAGCGGGTTATGATTTGATGTCCAGCTGCTCCAGTCGGAATTCTGAAATGTCGATGGGCGAGATACTGTACTTAACAGTGGTGCTTTATGTTCACAGGTTCACCAACAAAAACATCATCCATAAAACTCCAGAGTGGACCCTCATAGCTGTGGTGCTTCTGCATCTGTAAGTTTTCTGTGTGTGTGTCGTGTGCGCGCGCACGTGTTTAAGTTTAATGTCAGCTGTCGAGCTGCTCCTCAGCAAGCCCGGTTGAAGATTGGAGAGAAAAAACATTACAAGGAAATGAAGAACCATGGTTTCTCGGGAAATAGACCACGTCGGCCGTCTTTACCCGTGTGCAAATGTTTGCGTGCCTTGACAATGAGAAAAGTGTGTATTTAATGTTTACTGTGCTGGTGTATGATAAGATTTTTTTTATTTATTTTTTTGTAAAACAAGCAGGAACCAGATTTCTAAGCAACAAATGAGCATTATAACGTATGACTGGGTGAAGATGACCCATATAGACACATACTGGATTTAACATTATGTTATTTCCAGACTGGTGCATGAAGAGGTGCTTAAATCAGAGATGCAACAGCAATCTGCATTTTTAACACTGTTTGAAATTGAAAGAAAAGAATAAGAAGTCATCATGGTGCATTTGACAGACTGCTGTGTGCTTTGGCATAGTTTGGCACCTACCATATGGTCTGTGTGTGTGTGTCTGTGTTGCTGGCAGTTCACGGACAGTTCCGTGCTGCTCCCGTCTAAGTACACAGAGACGCCTCATGGCCTTATCTGCACCTGATTACCTCTGTCCAGATCCGTGATGGAGGACAGAAGGCACACAGTTCCTGCGTATCCTTTATATTGCCCCGGGCTGGGAAACCTTTCACCTGACGGCTGATTCTGATTTGTTACTCCCTCAATGGTTCCTGGTCAGTTTGCTTTAATATCACGGCACACTGTGTGTCGTCTTGAACTTTAAAAGAAGTGTTGCACAGCTTTAGGTACTGTAGGTGATCTGCCACCTTGGAGAGCCAAGAGGTCTCTGAAACTTGCCCGACAGAAACTGTTGTGTAATTTTCAGGGAAATAAAGGGAATGAAATTCAACTTGTAAAACAGAAGCAAGATTTCTCATCTGGGGTCTGAAGTGATTTTACTATTGCAAAAAAAGAAAGATAAAAGGGTAAAAAGGTTAGTGAATGCTTTGGAATTACCAGGATTTCAGCACTGATTACTCACAAAGTGTGTTTGTCACATTGTGAATTATATGAAGCTCAGACCGCCTTTTATGAGTAATCACTGCAGAAATCCTGGTAATTCCAAAGGGTTCACAGAAGGGTTTTGGGAACGGTGTCCGTCTCTAATTCTGACAGTTGTTGTAATACATTTCCAGATTTGATTTTAAGAACGTACTGACTCCACTTCTGAACAGTCAACATTCATTTGTAAATATTACCCTTTCATTGGTCAGATGTGACACTGGTGCTCTATGATTTCATCGGTTTCCATCCTTCCATTCCTCCATCATGAATAATTTGGTGTGCTGTCTTATCTGTCTGCTGCACGGCAGCTGTGGAGCTAGTCTGGCTGCTATTGTTCAGCCCAGCTGAATAATGGATGCCCCCCCTGCAACACTAGACCCTGGGCTGAACCGGAGATTGACCAGGAGTGTACCTCCTCTCTGGTAAGGGCAGGTAGAGAGGCATGGGTGGGGGAGGATGATGGGGAGGGATGGAGGTTGGAGAGAGATGACAGAGGGCTACAGACAGTGAGTTTAGTGTTGGAGGGAAATATTCTTGCACTAACTTGACAAATACTCTGTTTTTTGTACTGATACTGTGAATCTGGCTTCATGTCAGCCATGACTTGTCTGAGCTGCGGTCTTAAGATAGAGCAAGTGGTTGAACAGATAAAGTCCATCTCGCTTAAATTGGTGGAAACTTTGACCGTCTAACCTGATAAAAGATGAATCTCACAGTGTAATTTTCCATGTTACTGAAGGCATTTCCCAAATAGAAACACACATTTATTTACTTTTTTTAAAAAATTCAATAATTATTTACTTTGATTTATTTCAAAAACAGTGGACAGTAAAACACTGGAGCCTGTCCAGCTGTCGTAGGGTGAGAGACACACGATGGGCCGGTTGCCTGTCCATCACAGAGGCAACAAGCATTCACGCTCACATTAACACCTGCAGTAAAATGTTGAATCACCACTTAACCTATCATTAATTTTGTTGGATTGTGGGAGGAAACCCGGCGCGCTTGTGGAAACAACCCACACGAGCACAGGGAGCACCCATGTGATCGGCGGATTTGAACCCAGGACTTTCTTGCTGTGAGGCACAGCGGTTGTTTTTTGTTTGTTTTTAAACAAATATATGCTCATTTTGATGACGCAACACTGAAAGTCACATTTGTTCAGCTACTCAACAATTCAGAGCCTCTTTTGTCCTTATTTGGTTTCATAATGGGCCAAATGAGCCAGTTTAGGCTCTTTTGTTACCGATGCTGTTATAGCGCATGTGTATGTGGCTTTGCTGACACAAGCGAGGCCTTGCTGGGAAAAACAGCACCTTGATGGCAGCATACCTGTTTATGTCTCTCAGCATTAATGGGCCTGCAGACATGCACACGTTCCCCCTGCATGTGCGTCCTTTTGAGCAGCCTGGAAGCTTCCACTCCTCTTTAGCCGACATCTAGTTTTGTTTTTTGCTGCATTTTGTTTTCTGTGTGATTGATAATAATATGCACAGACACCACTTATCAGTAAGCCTCTCAGCAACCCCCACACTACAGCAAAGCTGAACATACACTCCTTTTACAGTGACTCAGCAGAGACTGAGCATTATTATGTTCACGAAGGTAGGATTGACCACACGGCAGTATCAGCTTGTGTCATATGAATATACACGACAGTGTTGGCCCAAGGCGCTGTGTGATTTTCTTTTTTCTTTTTGTAGACATACGCTGTGAAGTGTTTAAAATCTATTCTCTCATGTCGGTCTCTTTCTGCTTGACATTCAGAGCTCGTCTTTACAGCTCTAAAAATGTAGTCGATGGCCAGATTTTTAATAGTGTGTGTGTGTGTGTGTGTGTGTGTGTGTGAACACTTTCATGAATAAAAAAAAGCAGGATATTTTTCTGCCTCAGGTCTGCAATAATTCTATTTGACCTGATCACTTTGCTGAGGAAAAACTCTATAAATAAAACTTTCGAGTTCGTTTTATTCAACAAATGTTATCCGTATGAGTCAGCAACCGCTGCTTTCTCATAGCACTCGGCACCTTGGCGAAGAGAGGCTTGTGTGACAACATGGCTTAAATAAGAAGTGACTGCTAACTTTACACATCACGCTGTTGAAGGCTGAACATGTCGTCTTTTACTTTTAGGGTAGTCTTTATAATGCTTACAGATCCCTTTTGTAACTTCTAAGAACTGGATTGTGTTTGTGTTGGAAGATAAGTCGCCCGTTTAGTGTTGAGTTGGTTTTAATTTGTCGGTTTTTCACATTTCAGGTTGTCAGAGGTGTCTCCGTTGGTGCGAGAAGCCCTGAAGACTTCGGCATCTGTGGAGTATTTGAACACGCTGATGGTGGAGCTGGGTCTGCAGGAGCAGGACTTTCTGAATTTGGTCCAGCTGTTTAAATCCCCTGCACACTGACACAGATACGGATAAAGCAATAAAACTGCACTCTTTGACTGTGTGACAAATGTTTGTTTGTTCTGTTGTTTTCTGGATTGTCTGTTTCCACAAAATAAATGTATCCATAATAATAATAGTAGCAGGAAGTTGTGTGTTTTATCCTGCATGTTGTTGGAGACTGTTGGTGTTGCGCACACAATCTGTGGTGAGATATGCCCAAATCAGATCCTTGAAGTTTTAAAGCTGTGGATGTTTAACGTAGGCGGGGCCAAATAAATCACACCCAGCTTTTTTTTTCTCTCCCCTCAGTGAAAACGCCATGTGGACACGCTGCTTATTGCTGCTGCTAGAGGAGCTCCTCCTGCAATAAAACCAGCGCTATTTCTCCCGACTTCCTTTACATGGAGGTTTTATGGCGCCATAATATCATTTATTATACGGGTATGCCAGCAATGCGCTTGTCTGAAAATATTTGGTTTTGACCAGATGGCGCATGCAGCGAAACGTTTCTGCTATTTAATATCTGAGATATAACTCCGAGACGTGATTGATGGGTCTGCACGGCTGAGCGCACAGCTTCTCGTTTGTTCACGGGTCAAACGAGTGGACCGGTGAACGGTGGGTTTAGCCGGTAGAGTAGATGTTTGTGGATAAAAACTACATGTGTTTAACCGGTAATTAAATGTAGAAATATGGGGAAAAAATGACAACTGCGCTCCTTAAGTTAATATTTAATCCGTTAAAAAGGCTGACTAAAACAGCACGGTAAGCTTATAAAAGCTTGTGAAATTATTTAGTTGTTTTTTTTATATATAATAATAAAAACACAACAGATAAATAAACAATCAGCGTATCTTAGGCTAAGTAGGGGGAAAATAAACCAATTACAGCAAACTTAAAGCGCCACAAGTTTCGTGAACTCCTGCTTATTTCAGTCCGTGCTGCGTCTCTTTGTGCCTCCTCAGGTCCACTTTCCTCTGGAAACCTTTCCCGCAGAGGTCACAGCCGAAGGGCTTGAAGCCTGTGTGTTTCCTGCTGTGCGTGATGAGGTTGGAGCTCTGACTGAAGGCCTTCCCGCACACCTGGCACTTGTGCGGCTTCTCACCTGCAAGCAGGGACAAAAAATGGGGAAAATGTTAGGTCTTCTTTTTCTTTTTTGCACGTCTTGATTACTTTGACTTGCTAAAGCGTCTCACCTGTGTGAATGAAAGTGTGTTTTTTCATGTCTGACTTTTGGTGGAACCTTTTCCCGCAGTACTGGCAAGGATAAGGCCGCGTGTCGGAATGGATGAGCAGGTGCGTAGAGAGGGTTGAAGAGCGCTTGAAGCTTTTGCCGCAGATCTTACAGCTGAAGCTCCTCTCCTGTAAAAGACAGCATTCTGTCAGTCTCGAGAAACCTGGAAGTATCAGATTTAAATGTAGAAATGCAGTTAAAGCCAAGTCAGAGAGGTTTGTAGTGGGAAAAGAAAATGTCATCTGTGGCCTTTACGTCGAGGATGTGGATCTAAAGCGGGTTTAGGGGACGTGTGCACTGGTTTATTTCCGGCTTGGAGGCCCATACCTGCGAGTGAACCGCTCTGTGCTGATCCAAGCTCACTGCGTGTCCGAAGGTTTTTCCGCATATCCCACACTCAAACGGCCGCGTGCCGCTGTGCGACCGCCGCACGTGAACTTCCAGCCCGTGAGGCGTGGAGAACACCTTTGGAAAACACATGGATGATTCCAAATCAAACCCAAAATGAAGGGAAAACAACAGAGAAAATGTTAAAGAAACGAAAAGGAAAAGTGAACAAAATAAAAAAACTGAAAACGATGACTTTAAGTGAAATTAGGGAAACGCCTACCTTGCAACATTTAATGCACTTGTATGATCCACTCGACTCGAGGTTTGCGCGGATAAAATCGTTCTCAGACTTGATTTCCGCCACGCGGGCCTGTTGCTTCGCATCCAGATACAGCTCGTCTCTGTCCCGCATCCTGCAGATTTGGGCCGTTGAAGAATAACCCTGGTAACATCCGGCCGCGAGGCCCCGCTGTACATAAAGGGACTCGCTGCCGCTGTCCTCTCCCCTGTAGATGCTGATAGGTGACTGGGACTCCCTGTGGCTCTGGAGGTGGTGGTGATAAGACCCCTGAACCAGATGTCTCAGCTCGGTTCCTGAGTATGCCGACCAGGAGTACGGGAAAATTGGCATGTTCGAGTGACCGTCCTCCCCTGCAGGAGTGGAGCATTTCTCAGAATCTGAAAGTTAATTTGGATATCTTTAAAAACTTCAAATAATGTCCTGCATTAAAAAAAAGGACACCTGGAAAATGTACTGCACTTTATTGGACATGACTCCATACCGTGCGTAAAAGCCAAAGCAGAACAAAAGAGAAACGTTTTAAGTCGTTATTGGGTCGTGTGTCCGGTCACTAATCACAAGTGTCCTTTTGATTCTTTCACCAAATATTTTATATGTGAAATAGAAGATATGAAATATAATTATTTGTATCTTCATCACTTCATCAAAAACCTTAAAGTTTTTATGTTTAATTTATAGCCCAAATAATTTCTGCTTTAATAAACAACAACAACAACAACAACAACAATAATAATAGTTGAACAAATATAGTTGAACAAGTCGGGTTGAAAATGTGTAAAGGTTTTGACATCTCGCGAACCCAACACCAAATGAAACGAAGGATTAAAAAGAGAAAGAGAAAAACTCTTTAAATTTCAGACACAAACTGATGATATTTTTGTCTTGATAAGAACAGACCTGGTGAGGACGAGGGGGACGGGGGACGCCAGAAATCACAGTCGGAGGACCGGTCACAGGCGCTGCCTCCGCAGCTCAGCGGGGAGCTGGAGGACAGAGACCTCGGGGACCTCAGCCGCGACCCAGGGGACAGTCTGTCAGCGCCGGTCCTCACGTCTTCCTGCTCCAGATTGGAATCGAACTCGGCTTGAGATTTTGTTTCTATATTGGCACAAGAGGATAATCAATGAAAGGAGTTATGAATTTGTGCACTTGAATTTTCAGAATTCCCACTAAGACGACTCCTTTTTCTTCCCCATGTTTCGTGCGTAATTACGCACAAATGCACCCACCTGCGCACACATCAGCCATAATAGTGTCCAGTCTACTGTAGTCATCGTCGAAGTAGCGGTGCTGGTGGTAGCTGTGGGCCCTTTTGCTTTTCACCAGGAAAGATCTCGGCATGTTGTTGAACTCTTCTTCAGCCTTAAAGCTCGGCGCTGCTCGGGTCCGAAATCCTTCACGTCTGTCCCCTCAGCGCTGCTCTGACTTTATCTCTGGACAGATTGGAACACTATTGGTTGTCAGGCGATACGGTGTTAGGATTTTTGGCAGTCTATTACGCATGCGCAGAGAAGCCGTATCGTTTACCAGGTGACGCCGGGCAGGTGACCAAAAGTGGAGCCACCTTCCCCTCAAAGAGTAGATATGCGTCTGAAGACCACATACTGCGCTTCAATTCAGTTTATTGTAACGGACGTCAGCTGAATCACAGAAGAGGAAGTCTATGTATGTTTACGTAGCTCGTAGAGTAACGTCGACTTAAACTACATAAGGCCTAAATTAAAAGCATATAGTGTAATAATATTCACTGATATTTTTACGAAGTAAACAAGTTTAAAGTAATTTTGAAGATTTTAAGTATAATGACATATTTTTTGTTTTTTTTTCCATTTGCAATATTGTAAAGGCATTAAAATACATTTGGAGCAAAAATTTGATTTGTGTCCTGAGAAGTTGAGGTTTGTATATTCAAAGCATAAACTAACTGAAATTATCATAAGTAAATAAATTAAAATCAGTTGATTATATATAATTTGGATAAAGTGAGACATGAGAGCTGCGTGTTTGAGGCTGGTGAATACAGGCAGAGCAGGCAGTGATGGATAATGACCTATTTGTTTGACTGGTTGTAAAGTGATCTCGTTAATGAGACGGCGCACGGCCGCTATGCGCAACAGCCTGTTGGTGGGGAGCCGAAGTATCCCTTTACAGTCGCTCTGCTTCAGCTTACCCGCACTGACTTCAGCCTTATTGTTTTACATTATTAAAACCTCCTCCAGGCTAATAGACAGACCCAATTAAGCAGTCCACTGAACAAAAGTACAAGAAGAGTCACATGCAAGTGCCAGCTGGAGAGGATAAAAATGTGTAAATACTGATGATAATAATAAAATCACAAAAGCGAATTTTCCCCCCTTTAAGCAGAAATCTGTCAGGCTCAAAATGCAAATCATTGCGAAGATTTGGGTTCAAGGTCATACTAAAGCAAAGCGGTATCGATTTTATCCGTTTGTGGGAACAGACTTTGTTTGATGCAGCTGCAGCAAGTTAGAGACCTGCAAGCAAAACTCAGATAGCCGAGGCACGAAGCCGAGCGCACATGTCCCATACTCACACGGCACTGACACCGCAGGCACTAATGTCCCGGCTTCGAGAGCACACACTCTCCAGATCTCTGTCCGCACTGGGTCTGACTGTCAGAGAGTCACTTCTCATACTGTCTCAACGCATTCACGCGTGCACACACACATGGACACACACACGCGTGCGCGAGCTCCTTGTCCCTCCTGATCTCGTCCCCTCCCTCAAAAATTAATTTTAATGTCAGTCAAGCATGACGGTCAAACAAAAACACTGATTCATCTTTTGATAAAAGAGTCCCCCAGTGCCAAAATCGTTCTGCATTTGCGTCGCACAAAAATAAATCCCGCTGCCTTTTTAGATTTCCTTCTCGCGACTGTCACTCACAGCCCGCACTCCGAGCCAGATTTCTGTCCATTTCTCTGTGATATTAAAAACAAATTTACATCGGTTTCATATGTGTGATTGCCGTTATTTTTTCCTGATAAGTTACCAACCTTTACTTTCATTATTGCACTCACTGAAAAAAAGAATGAAAGAAAAGACAAAGAAAAACAAAAGAAAAATACTTCAGCTATAAAATCAACAAAAGCCCTAGCCTCAAACTCACCATTTGTTTCTGCTTCATGGTTGCTTAATTACACCTAGCAGAGATAAAAAAAAATAAAAATAAAATAAAAAAAAACCCCGGCTCAATCGCACATTTAAATCGCCCTGTTTGAATATCAGCCGCTCTGATTATTCTTAAAGTTGTGAGAAGTGAGAGAGAGACACACACGCAGAGGGGCAGACAAGTGACAACAGTCAAACTCAGGGTTACACACTGACTCAGAACAGGAAACCATGCAGAGTGAGAAGACGCTATCAGGGCTGCCACAGGCTCCTCTCGTGTGTCTCCCCCTCCCTCCCCCCAACACAGACAGGCCTTGATTCTTGCTCTTTTAACTCTTACAGCAAGTATGTGATTGAAATAGAAGCTCAATCGCAGCGATCACAGAGAGGGGGTGGAGGAGGAGGGTCTCTTTTTTTAACTTTTTTTTTTTTTTTTGCTTTGCTTCTTTGCTTCATTCGCCACTCATCAGCCTTGTCTACCTGCGAGTCACAGTCCCACGGGGTTAAATAAAGACTTGTGCTGCTGAGCCATGAGGTTATTTTCTCAAGCTGAACCTCGAACCCCCTTTTTGGCTCTATAGCGAGGAAAGACAGAGGGTGTGGGGGGACTCCTCGTGGTTTTAAATATACTTGAGGCTACAGCTTTCGCACCACATGCATGTGAATGTTGACAAGAAGAGGTGCAGCATGCACTGTGACTTGTCGCATGTCTTGATTTTGCCTCTTGCACGTCAGGTGAAGTCAGGCCTGTATAACTCCAGTCAAACCTGGCCACTATCGATAACAACCATGGGTTCTTCAAAGATTTTAAAGAAAGCCATCAAGTCTTTTGGTCTAACTAGCTGTAACTGTTTAAACGTTGGCCTTACTTGGTAGCTGAAGCTCACATTTTTCATCTGTACCCAGCCATCAGCATGAAGGGCTGACAACTGAAACCACCAAGAAGTACTAAAAACGGCAGTTCCTGAATGCCGCTTAAGGCTCCAAAAATGAATCAAGACTAGAAGTTTGCTGTGAAGATATCCTCTTTTTAAAAGGCCCTTAAGATTAAAAAATATATATTTTTCAAGGGAGACCTGGCCAAGAAGGGAAACTATTACAAGGTTACAAAAATACGCTGTAAAGATGAAACGAACAGAGGAATAATGAGCAAATGAGCAACATCAGTCCAGCTTAGATTTGGAAGCTGCAGTCTTCAGGTACAGAATTTGTGATAGAAGCTCTGAACTTTCCCTGATAGACAAAAATATTTATCTTTTGTGTTTTCTAAAAGTCTTTCCCCGACCAAGTGACAAAATAAGAAAATGTTGCTCTATCATATTCAGAAAAAATCTAAAGGAGCTTTCAGCTGTCTGCTTTTGATTGTCTGAAGTGGACCTTGACAATATTTGTGGTGCCGATGCCTTTTGGAGCATTTTCACTGCAAGTATGTGCCAAATAATACCGTTTGATCTCTGCTTAATGTGCTTGCAGCCTATCCAACAAGTCTGTCGTCGAGTGTTTCTGAGTGAATTTCTAGTATGTTATTTGTACGTTACTTATCACTAATTAGCAGATATCTGCAGGAGGCATGGTTATAGCTGAGCTAGCTAGCATTAGCTAACATTCCACTCTCTTGTCCAAATATGGAGACTTCTAGCTCCAGAAAATCAAAGTGGTGATTCCCAGAATGCTAGAATCCAGGCTTGGGAGTATGAGTCCACAGATTATATATATAGAACAAAATCTTTGTAGCTGGTGAAACAAAACAAATTCAGGAGTGCCTTACACCTGCTTTCCCCCTATAATGACAAGTGTGAGTTTGCAAAAACAAAAAAAAAACACCATGTAGTTCATTATGAGTCTTCTGGAAAGTGGCTCTTTGGTGCCCTCGCTCTGTGACCTCAGTGAACACTTTCATGATGAGCTGATAGTTTCAGTCGCTAATTTAAAGTTTGCAATATGACGTTGAGTTTCATCATGTTTGACCTTATTGGTGTCAAAAGGAGGATTAAACAGGGTATGCATTACCATATGACTGTCACATTTTCACAATTAGATTGTCTTGGAACATTAGGATGGTGACAGCTAATGGGATTTTGGAAACCAGGGGGGTGGCTAAGTCCATCTTTGGTATACAGTCCATGCTACAAACTAATGCACAGTACCATACCGCCCCCCCCTTTATTTTTAATGCACTGTGGGCATACCAGACTGTTTACTTTCCCATTGATTGCGTGTTTGTTTCCTGGAGATTCATCAAAAAGCTGCAGTCTCACATTAAGTCAAAATGAAACTGAATGAGGAAAAAAAAAAGTTTTGTTCTTAGAAAAGTCATTCAGTCCTCTTTTCTTTGGTTTTGTTGTCGGACCAGAAAACAGAATAATTTCAAGCAGTGCTCTCTCCTTTTGCAGAACATAACCACATGAGGCTGATTTTACTAACTGCCCCACTCTGCAGTGGATTCATGGCATAATAACCTGTTGTGGTTAAACTGACTTTCCTTGGTTTATGTCCCTCTTCAGTCCCATGTGTTCAGCACGGAGCGTTCACCTCTGTACCTCCGGACTCTTGTGGCATCTCAATGAAAACCACATCACGCTATCTCATCCCCTCACAGGTTCCTTTGGCTCCATAGCTCTAACCACCATTTAACCTCCCCACCCCACGCCAACCCCCACCGGCTTTCTTTTAAACTCCTTCATTCTTTTTCCTTCAGTTAGACAATAAGATTTTAGTCCTTGTTTTGGGTTCAACTGTTCCCCCCCCAAACCACCACCCCCACCACCCACCCCACTGGGAATTACCAGCCAAATCTCATCAAGCTCTCAGCTGGGTCCACCTGCAGCTACCAGATAGGGACAGAGTACTAAAACAATGTATGATTTACTGGATGCAGCTGAACACGAGACAGTTCTTCTTTTACACAGGCGATCAAGAAATGTGTTGCCTTTACTTGCACACTCTCAATCAAGTCTGCAGCTGCGAGCGGCGTTCGAGCTGCTCCAACCGATTCGTCTCTGTCAAAGTTTTACTTATTGGGTTAATATTCTGATATGACACTAGAGGATCACAGAGGGCACCCCGGGATCTGCAGTGGTGCCAAATCCCAAGGACACAAAAGCCTCGGAAGCCTGCAAAAACAGTGAAAAGAAACTGCTCAGCAAATCCTCCGAGTTGTGCAGTAAACACCCCACAAATCACCTCCCTCATTCATCACTTTGGATTCAGCAGCTCCCCTTGTTTTAACTGTTTCTGGTTGTAAATTTCTCTCCCCCTCCACACGCC